ACGAAATAGTGAGAAGTTATTCATGGTACGGTGGTTAAGATAATTTGTGTTCACATAATGATCAGCTTGTGTAATATCGAAGTAGGATTTTTCGCAAAGCAGTACAAAAGTACTCGAATCAATTAACAAAGAATTTATCATTTATAGTTCCAGATATCTATTCAATGAGTGTTGAGTATCAGAGGAATTACTTTTGAAATTGATTTGAAGCAAAAAAAGATGCAATTACCTTTATGGAATTGTTTTGAAGTGACTAGAACAGTTAGAGAAAATTATTATAATCCATTATTGATCATCAATATTGAATGAATCCCCTTTTCATTGGCACGAAACCGATAATATTTTATTTTTTCGGTCGAATATAAAAATTCACTGAGAAATATTTATTTGTATTAATGGAGTGATAGTTTCACACTATGAATGTAGTTATATAAACCATTTTCTACTTCATCATGAAACATTTTTAAGAAATCAATATTTAAATTTGAACAATTATAACTTTTCTATTGAGTTCTCTAAAAAAGTAGTGGAAAAATATAATTTTCTAACATTTTATTGAAACAACAATAAAATTAATGTTGCAGGAACAGTAAATGAAACCAAAAAGAGTATAATTCTCACTGACGACTTTGGATCACAGAATGTGATTTTATCAATAATAAATGAAAAATGGAATCAGGTAGATACACAAGTGGATTCGTCTTTTATAGTATTCACAAAGAGAACACATTTTAGTGAATTGTTACAACGATTTCTAGCTGTTAGAAATCTAGTTTGGGAAACATTGATATATACTAGATAATATACTGCAATTTTAGATGATCTTTAATTAGGGAAAAGTTATTGGATGTATTTGTGTTTGGTGAGTATATTTCCAGATTGTAATCGACGTTCCACAAAGAAATCTTGTGAAAAATTGATAAAAGGTACTATAATGTTTCATAACTCATCACCAGAAATGGTTTGATATTAGTAGTACACAGGCAACTCCGCATATCTCCATTTCATTATTTTCATTTTGACAGTGAATATACAGATATCTTCATTGACGTTTGAGATATAAGTGGCGTAATTATAGTTTCAATCTTAAAAGCAATAAGTTTTTGTTTCGTGGCTCCTCTCTGTTTAGGAGTCTCCAATTTTGAGTTTTATTTATCACAGTAATGTTATTGAACAGCTCATTTATATGAATTATAAACGGAATATAATAAAAACAATAATCGTGTTTATTATTTTCAAGAAATACATAAAAAAACTAGATTGAGGAAATACATGAACAGATTTTTTTTTAAAATAAAGGGCGAAGTTCAGTTCAGTTTCTAAATAAAATCAACAACTAAACTGCTCTTCCATATATTATAAGACCCATTCTTGTGGAACAAAAATAAAAAAGAATGAAATATTCAAAGTAGTAAACGCTTCAGCAAATGCTTTTGGAATTATTGAATGACCTTCTTATTCAAAATATTCGATTGTTTGAAGGGTATGATTTTTGAAAATAAAATTATATAAATTGAAGGGGTTATATTTTTAGGAGTGATTAATTTTTGGGGAAGAAAGTTTTTGGCTTTCTACTACTCCATCTTGATACAAAAAAAGGATGAGGGAATCTTCCAAAGAAAGGAAGGAAGTAATCAATTTGAAAATAAGATCATGCAAAGAAGTAACTTTCAGACACAAAGTGAAAGAAAGTCCTCCTGAAACAGCTACTTTCATATAAACATTGTATTACACGAAAGAAAAAAATTCTTTCGAAACAAATACTTCTATATGAACACTGAATTATACAGAATATACTTTTCTCTACTCAGTTTGTATTTTAAACATTCGTTGTGGAATAAAAATCAGATATCATTCACATGGGTTCTACTTTAAATGAATGGTAACAAATTGCACTTACATGGAACACTGTCTCCTCACTGGTATACATCGATGTTTCATTCATGAATTACGATTTTTTAAGATGGAGAAGTAGAAAGCCAAAAACTTCCTTTCCCAAAAATTATATAATTTGTAATACGTGTATTAGATGGTAGAATAGAGAAATGAAGGATATACAATAATGAACGTGACAAGGGAATTGAAAACTCTGCCAAAATCGCAAACATTCGAGTTTGACTAGCCGAATTGGCGTCATCAACTTCATGTATAGTTCATCTCCTGATGAAGTCAGCTTGGTTGAAACTTGTGTCGTGTGTGTTGCAGTTCTGAGGCAGTGTTTGTTAGCAGTGATCGTCTTGAAGTCCACAATATTGAATGGCTCAAATTTTCGAATATCAATGACGAACAAGGCGAAACTGAGACTTTTGCAATGAGCAGCGGACCTACTCAGACTATAAATGAGCCAACCAGGATTCCTGACCGTGATGGAGATTATACTAGTATTCTGGATATATACCTAATAACCAATCTAGAAGTGTATACAGTCACCGTAATGTCGCCATTGGGATCTTCTGACCACAAACTCATTTTGGTAATATCAGTGTTATCAGTGTTGAACCACCATATTCTCAATTCTGCAAGGGTTCAACATCATCAATATGGCTTTCGGAAACAAAGATCATCAAGCGAGCTTCTATTTTATCATACCTATATTTGGAATAACGCAATCGAGAAACATGGAGAATCAAGAGTTGTTACGCTTGATATTTCTAAGGCCTTTGTTTGTGTGTGGCATGAGGGTTTGCCGGCCAAACTTCGATGCTATGTCTTGTCGAATCATTCCTTTGTATGGTTCTTCAGCTTCCTGAAAGACCGTTTCCTGCAAGTGGTCGTCGATGGATATCTCTCGAATACTTTCATCATCAACGCTGGTGTTCTCCAGGGATCCATATTGTCTCTAATCCTCTCCTTGTTGTATATCAACGACTTATTGGAAAAAATCAAGAATCCAATATATTGCTTTGCTGACGACAGCACACTTTTCTCGTCATTCCATTTGAATTCCAGGACATCGGCTACGGAGGCACATCTTTACCGGCAGCAAGAGGTTGCAAATCTTAATGAGTGAATTCGACTTGGAATGGAAGAAGGTAAATGTCTCCGAATAGGATATAATAATGTCAGGTCAGGCAATTCCGCTTGCTGCTTCGTTTGTTTGTTGGGGGTCAAAATGGACACCAATATGTCTTGGCGCAATCATGTCGCTAGAATTGCAAAGACTGCTTCTCGATAGCTTGGAACATTGTTCCGAACCAGAACACTGTGCACACCTCAGCAACTTTTGATGCTAGATGAAGCTCAGATCAGACCGTCTTTGGAGTATTGTTCTCATGTATGAAGCTCTGCTCCCAAACATACTCTGAAGTTGTTGGCTTCCATCCAGAAAAGAGCCATCCGCCTGATTGAAGACGATAACATCACGTGCAAACTTGATAGCCTGGAACATCGAAGAAAGGTTGGATGTTGTCTCGCTTCTATAAAATAACTTCATCACCTTCAAGGAAGGTGTTCAAGTGATTTGGCACGCAACGGACTGTGACTGCTCATCGTTTTGAGGTTCAACTCAGTACACCTCAAAATTCATGGTTTAAGAACTCTTTCATCTGGAGAAGTGCGTTCATGTGGAATAAACTTCCTGAGAACGTTTTTCGAAATGGATTTAATCTCCAGCGATTCAAATCCAATGTGAATCGATACTTTCGTACAGGCACCGCTCTGAGGAATTTTCTGTAGAGCTTGTGTATTGTCTTGAAAAAAATAAACTCTACGGCAGAGGTTTCAGATTCATCTTTCACGTTCTTCATTGTGTATGTGATACAACTGCCAGATTTTCGATAAAAATCCATCATAATGTATCTGAATTTCATCAGTTCAGACTTCCATTGTCTAATATAATGTAAATTGATTTAGAAACGCTGAAGAAACAATTGAAAAATTAATAAGATAAACCGAAAATAACAATTTTATTAAACAAAAAACTGAAATTACAAAGAAATAACATACAAGCAACAACCAAACAAATAAAAATTGAAATATTAATAAAAGCTGAAAAATTTAAATTAAAAATTTTTATTAACAAAAAATGAAAAACAAAAAATTTAGAGATTTCAAACCAAGTTATGTCACGACGTTTCGATTGTTAGTATCCACAATCGTCTTCGGGTGGAAACTGGACTTATTCCTCCAAAATCTGACTATTTATAGGTCGGTCGAGTGCTTTCACCTATCACCTCATCACTTTTTCCGCTTCATTGGTTTTTAGCGGAAGATGACCGTTTGGCGGAAATTGGTCCTTTTTCCCTTAATTATAGGTTTCCATATGTTACGTATCTCTACGCTAGCTTGACTAAATACGTTGTTGGACAAAATATATGCGGCTTCTTTGAATTTTCTCCTAAACCAGTGTTCTTCTTTGTGGATAATTTCAGCGTGAACCCACTTGATGTTATGTTGATGAGTCCAAACATACTCTGCTATTCCGGATTTGCTGGTTTCTCCTCGCTGTGTATGTTTCTTGTGCTCAGCAATGCGAACTTTCAATGGCCTCTTAGTTTCACCGATGTATGATTCTCCGCACTCTCAGGGTACCCGGTAAATGCAATTCTTGGAATCGCAGTCCTCGTTTGGTGGCCTAGTCCAGTTATCACCCGAAGACGATTGTGGATACTAACAATCGAAACGTCGTGACGTAACTTGGTTTGGAATCTTTTAACTTTCAATTTTATTTTTCATTTTTGTTAATAACTTTTTTTAATTTTCACCTTTTATTAATATTTCAATTTTTATTTTTTTGGTTGTTGCTTGTATGTTATTTCTTTGTAATTTCAGTTTTTTCTTCAATAAAATTGTTATTTTTGGTTTATCTTATTAATTTTTCAATTGTTCTTTCAGGGTTTTCAAATCAATTTATATTATATTAGATAATGGAAGTCCGAACTGATGAAATACATCACAAAACATTGTCAACCACCTTCAAACAAGTAATGTATGTATAAGATTTTCACTTAACAGTGACAAGTGTTTCTTTATTGGATTGTTTGAATTGAAGGATTACTAGAAAATATATTTGGGGCATCAACTAATACCAATTGGTTGATCATCTCCCAGACAAAAAACAAGTTCATTCAGTAGTGAAACAAGAAATTCTAGACAATTCGTCTTTCTCGAAATTATTTTCAGTTTGATGACAGATTTCACATTTGTAGCGGAGGACTAATAATGGGAAACCCTTCAGTTCTTTGCTAGCTAAAGTATCCATGAAAGGCAAAATTCGTAATAATTAGTGAAAAAAATTATACGGATAGAGATACGTGAATGATATCTTTGTTTCACTTGTACAGGTGGGTAGTTAGGTGAGTTTTTAGAATTCACCACTGGCATTGAGGTGAGTAACAAAATTAATTTTCCGGACAAATGTACATAGAAATAATTCCTCGACACATTCACATCAACATAAACTAGTAGCACTCAACTGTATACTAGTGAATATTCCACTTTCAGAAAGATATTTTCGATCATTGCGATCAAAGGCTATAAGATGGATATTATCAACTCCATTCAATCTAAGAAACTGATAGTTCAGTTGACAGATAAAATTTGTATTAAGTTCCTGAAAAATATATGAACGAAAAATCTTTGAATTCAGAATAACGTGTAGCACGCAAAACTTGCAACTATTTGCAAATTTTATTTCCAATTACCTAAATTGAATAAATTGAAAAATTGGAAAATAACATTCTAAAGTCAGGTCTCTGCTATTCATTAACGACAATATATGACTTTTCATGCCAAACATAAATTTTTAGTTTCAATCTATTCTAAACGAATACTAAAAGAATGAGAACGGCCCAAGTATGTTGACCAGTCGAAATAAGTGAAGACAGATTTATTGTCAAAATGACATATGCTTCCGCTTTTGCTTGCTTTTCTTCATCTCCCATTGGTACTCACTCGATTCAACGTATTGACATATGACCTCTGTAGGCCAAGGTCATCTCTCGTGTATCTCATATGCAGGCGAGAGGGCCTACAATCGTCGCCCTCACATTTACTTATATGAGGATCCCCTGAGGAATGATATTCAACTGTTGAGCTACTACATCAACAAGTTCAAGCAAGACAAGGCAATTACTGGATCGTCTGCACCCGAACCCACCAAAGGTGATTATTGTTGAATTTCATGTAGGAATGGGAGTGTTTTGCTTTATCGCTTCTTTTCATACTGAGATTGCAGCCTGAGGTATTGAAGGAAGTATAGAAATGGACAGCATTCGTTTTTAAGGGTTACGTTTATCAGGAAATATTTCACATAGTTGGAAAACAGTAGTTTTCATCATTATTATCACCTATAGGTGTTGTTGGTTCTGTGTCTTGTATTGAATGAGCCCTATTAGGCTAGCATGGCAAATCCGGTAAAATTGCAAAAAAAAATACATCAATTTGTAGCTGAATAGTTACTAAGTAGTTGCCAAAACAAAGATTTTGTTGTTCGTGCCGATCCCTAAAAATCGCAAATAATGCTATCGTGATATAAAGGTAGCAAGGCATGAATTATATACTTTTCTTTTGATCTTTACAGAAAATTCAGCTACTATTTAGTTGCTAAATAACTTGATATAGGCGCTGTTGCCAATATGTGAATTAGAAACAAATCCCTTTAATAATTAAAACCCAACATTTGAAACATCAATTTGAATACTTTTCGAAGTGAATTTGAAAAACTCATGAATTAAACTCAACTTTACTTTGTTCAAACTTGCATTGCTGTAATAACCCAAATTGAGGAACATTCCCCATTGGTCGATCAAGGCCAACTATTTTGTTGCTGCTTCTCGGAGTGTATTTGAGTACCCTCCATATGAGCAAAACCAGTTCCAAGATAGCAAGAATGAGAAAATGAAAAAAAAAATTAAAAATCGGCCGATCGGTATCAACTATTTTGTTGCTGATACTCAAGGTGTATTTGAGTATGCTCCTGGTGAGCAACAAATTCAGAATACTCTGTATTCCAGACAAAACCGGTTTCAAGATCTTGCTTGCAGGGAGAATTTAAAAAAAATATTAAAAATTGGCAGATCAAAGCCAACTATTTTGTTGCTGATTCCCGAAGTGTATTTGAGTACCCTCCTGATGAGCAGCAAATTAAAAACACTTTTCCTTCTCAGGAAAACAAGTTTCAAGATAGCAAGAACGAGAAAAATTTAAGAAAAAATTAAAATCAACTATTTTGTTGCTGATAATCAAGGTGTATTTGAGTATACTTCTGGTGAGCAACAAATTTGAAACACTTTGTATTCTAAGGAAAACCAGTTTCAAGATAGCAAGAACGTGAAAAATAAAAAAAAAAAAATGAAAATCGGCCGATCGGTTTCAAGTATTTTGTTGCTGATACTCAAGGTGTATTTGAGTATACTACTGGTGAGCAACAAATTTGAAACACTTTTTATTTTAAGGAAATCCAGTTTCAAGATAGCAAGAACGTGGAAAATGAAAAAAAAAAAAATTGAAAATCTGCCGATCGGTTTCGACTATTTTGTTGCTGATACTCAAGGTGTATTTAAGTTTATTCTTGGTGAGCAACAAATTTTGAACAGAAAAAAGCAGTTTCAAAATAGCAAGATCAGAGAAAATAAATAAAAGTATTTAAAAATGTTTCGCTATATCCAAGGTTCAGCAACTAAATAGTAACTAAATCTTCTGTAAAGATCTAAGGGAAAGTATATAATTTATTGAGTTACCTTGCTACCTTTATATCACGATAGCATTATTTGCGACTTCTAGGGATCGGCACGAGCAACAAAATCGTTGTTTTGGCAACTACTTAGCAACTATTCAGCTACAAATTGATGTTTTTTCTTGCAATTTCATTGGATTCGCTATGCTAATCTGATAGAGCTTATTGTATGCAGTATTGTCAATTTTTGAAAACATATTTCATGTATTTTCCTCAATAATTGAACAAATACCATTCACTATTTTCATAAGGCTGTCCTACGAGTACTAGCAATCACGCTTCTTCAATACCACATTTGAAAGTTTTGCATAACCCTTATCATTTCATATCGTTTCCATCAATACCATCATATAGGTATTATTATTCACGGATAATGATGAACAATCTATGTTTTTACAAATTTTTCACAGATGATTTTCAGAAAATACACGAAACGCAAGCAAAAACTCGATTCATTTTTATTTACCGCCAAACCTCATATCAAATAATTAGTTTTAATCCAGGATGGAATGTATAATTGAAACCTCTAGCGTAGAATCATTCCAAAACAAGCATTTTCCCAAGGCACCATAACTGCAATACTCTTCTTGGCGTGCGATTCACCAACCAAATTGGTGTCTTCAGGAGATGAAATGCGCATCTCGTGAAAACGCCAACTTGATTGGTAGAACGCACGTCGAAAAGATTACTGCAGTTCTGGTGTTCAGGAAAAATGCTTGCTTTGGATTCATTTCAGGAGTTTCTCAATCACAGTTCCAATACTCATTTGATGATGAATTGAAGAATTTGCAAAATTCAGATGTTCATTTCTTTTTCCATGGTTTTTCCAAAAACTGCATTATTCATTAAAATATATCATTCACATCTCAGTCGTTTTTTCTCTAACATTCCCTGAAAATTCTGATTTTCAACCAGATTTTTTCCTAACGGTGTGTATTGATGTTGTTGGTTTTGTTTCCTTACAGCTGACAAAGTAGAAGAGAAGCCAGAAATCACTGAAATCACCGAATAACCCATCTACTTTCTTCTTTCTACATTCTTCCTTCACCTCTACCGATTTTTCAAAAATATTTATGTGCACAAACGTATTGTATTTTTTGATAAATTTTACTTCTCTGATGCTGTACTACCATGTTGGATTTGAATGTTTGAGTGTAATACGCACGATCATGGTTATATAGCAATGTGTTCAATAAAACTTATTTTCGTTATCACTTGTTTTATTTATTGTGATGTGGGAGACGCACTTTGATCCTCAAGTTAACATGAGAACCAACAGGTCTGATCAAAATTGAATTATTGCCGATAATTTGTGTCTCAGTGTTTTTATATGGTTACTTTCAATATGATGAACCACACTGGAATTTCATTGAAATTATTTTTTAAACTTCAGAACGTACAGTATTTTCGTTTTGTTTTGAAAAACTATATTGATGAATTAGGTATGCCAACATATGCATTTACATTCAATAATGTCTTTGTGATGGGACGAAATAGTGAGACGTTATTCATGGTACGGTGTTTAAGATAATTTGTGTTCACATAATGATCAGCTTGTGTAATATCGAAGTAGGATTTTTCGCAAAGCAGTACAAAAGTACTCGAATCAATTCACATGGAATTTGTCATTTATAGTTCCAGATATCTATTCAATGAGTGTTGAGTATCAGAGGAATTACTTTTGAAATTGATTTGAAGCAAAAAAAGATGCAATTACCTTTATGGAATTGTTTTGAAGTGACTAGAACAGTTAGAGAAAATTATTATAATCCATTATTGATCATCAATATTGAATGAATCCCCTTTTCTTTGGCACGAAACCGATAATATCTTATTTTTTCGGTCGAATAGAAAAGTTCACTGAGAAATATTTATTTGCCTTAATGGAGTGATAGTTTCACACTATGAATGTAGTTATATAAACCATTTTCTACTTCATCATGAAACATATTTAAGAAATCAATATTCAATTTCAATCAATTATAACTTTATTTTTATATTGAGATCTCTAAAAAAGTAGTGAAAAACTATAATTTTTGAACATGTTGCAGGAACAGTAAATGAAACCAAAAAGAGTATAATTCTCACTGACTTTGGATCACAGAATGTGATTTTATCAATAATAAATGAAAAGTCGAATCAGATAGATACACAATTGGATTCGTCTTTTATAGTATTCACAAAGAGAACAAATTTCAGTGGATTGTTACAATGATTTCTAGCTGTTAGAAATCTAGTTTGGGAAACATTGATATATACTAGATAATATACTGCAATTTTAGATGATCTTTAATTAGAGAAAAGTTATTGGTTGTATTTGTGTTTGGTGAGTAGACTTTGGTGAGTATATTTTCAGATTGTAATCGACGTTCCACAAAGAAATCTTCTCAAAAATTGGTAAAAAGTACTTTTTTTATCACTATAATGTTTCATAACTCACCACCAACAATAGTTTGATATTAGTAGTACACAGGCAACTTCGGATATCATGTTTCATTATTTTCATTCTGACAGTGAATATACATATATCTCCATTGAAGTTTGAGAGATAAGTGGCGCAACTATAGTGTAAATCTTAAAGGAAATACGTTTTTGTTTAATGGCCCCTCTCATCTTCGTTAAGGCGTCTCCAAATTTGAGTTTTATTTATCAGAATAATAAAAATGATATATAATGAANGGGTGTTTTTCAACTTAACCGTGGAAATACAATATTAATTTACAATTTTCTTAATTATCTCAGCTATAATATCTACGATGAGTATAATTCTATTACATTGTAGAATAATTTTGCTGTCTGAGATCTATCAAATTAATGAGTACCTACCTTAAATTCATAAAGTGATTGACTGGTCATTATCCGTTCTGTAGATGCAGAGTTAGACATTTGTTAATCATATTGAGCTGATAATAGGGATTTCAACTTTTTTTTGAAGTTCATCAGAATACCTATATGTACTGTAATAATGCGGAAGTTGATTATAGAACTTACAGGCGTTGTATGTGAAAGATCGCTGAAAAATGGAGGTTTTTTGTTTGATTCATATTAAAAAAATTAAAACTCTATGAACAACAGACATAAAAAACCTAAATCAAATATACTATATATTAATATAACTCAATCAGCCATTTCAAACAAAACCAAAATCTACCCTTCAGTTAGATGGGTGTTCAGTTCATTATGCCAGAGCTGTGAGGCAATGGCTTAACGAACACTTTCCAAACCGATGGATAGGCTGTGGCAGTCCGTTTATAGAGTGGCTACCCAGATCTCCAGACCTCACAGTTTTGGACTTTTTTTTCTGGGGACTTCTCTCACAAAAGTTTTACAAAAACCGCTCAAGAGATAGAAATGAACTTTGTGCAAGAATTCGACAGGTATGTGCAGATATTAGCCCTCAAGAACTAAGGAACGTAATTCTGTAGGT